TTTTTTTTTTTTATAAAAAAAAAAAAAAAAAAAAAAAAAAAAACAAATTGCAAAATCTTCGTTCTTATATAAAAATAAATTAAAAACAATATATAATTATATTTAATATATATTTTATACTTATAACTTTTTAAGTAACAATTCAATATATATTAAAATACTGAAGTTTACAATTTTATGTGTATTTTTTTTTTTCTATTTTAATGAGTATGAATAAAAATAATATAATAAAAAATTAGTAAAATACAAAAATTTAATTTTATTATTTCATTTAATAAAAAAAAAAAAAAAAAAAAAAAAAAAAAATTTTTAAAATTTTTTAAAAATTNGTATGAATAAAAATAATATAATAAAAAATTAGTAAAATACAAAAATTTAATTTTATTATTTCATTTAATAAAAAAAAAAAAAAAAAAAAAAAAAAAAAAGAAAAACTTTTAAAATTTATTAAAAATTGATAAATAAAATACCATTATTTTCTACTTTTCCTATGTATTTGAAATTTAATTTTTTTTTTTTTTTTTTTTTTTATAACATATATACTTATAATTTAATAAGATAAAATACATTTTTTTATTTTTTTTAAATATAATAACTTTAAATATTTTTTTAATAATTTTTTTTTTTTTTAAAAATTGTTTTTACTTTTATTTTTCTTTTATAATGTATAAAAAAAATTAGAAAAGTTCAAATTTTATTATATGACTTGAACTATTCTAAAAAGAAAAGTAAATAATTTTCTTCCTAATAATAAAAAATTAAATAGAAAAAGTAAATTAAATAAAAATTAAATAGAAAAAGTAAATTAAATAAAAATTAAATAGAAAAAGTAAATTAAATAAAAATTAAATTTGAGTGTCTTGATGAAGATAAATAAAAATAAGTAAATATATAGATTAAGACTCTTTAAAATGTTATTATTTTAATTTTATTTATATACTAAATTTTTCTATTTGAAGTATGTATTTATTAAAAATACAAAAATTATTTTAAATTGAGGTCTAAGATATTTATACTCAAAATAATTATTTAAATGAAATATTTAAAAAAATGTAACCTTCTAAAATTAACAATACAATTAGATAAATTTTTAAATTCATCATTAAAGTTTAATAAAAATAAAGAAATAAGAAAAATTAACACATCCATACAAAAGGATGATAAAAGTTTAGGAATCATACTTATTAATAGTAAAGTTATAAAAGGAAATGAAAAAAATGATAAATTAATAAGTACTTCAATAAATGAAATAAGTGAATTTTCAAATAATGATGAAAAAAATAGATATATGAAAAATGAAAAGAGAAAAGATGAAAATATCAAAAATTATAAAAATATCAAAAATTATAAAAATATCAAAAATTATAAACAATCTGAATTGGTAAGAAAAATAAGAAAATTTTGTAGAAAAGATGATTTATGCAGTTTGTATAAATTTTGTGATGAATTTTTATATCTTTTAAAAAGTAAAAAACTACAAGAAAATGATTTTTCTATAATAATTCATTTATTAAATAAAAAAAAATTTTATGATAATAGTTTTTGGAGAAATATAGTTACTACTGAAACTATAGATTTAATCTTTAGTATGAATTTAAAACAAATTATTTTGTCTTTTTATAGTATTGTAAATTCTTATAAATATATTAATTTAAATTTTTTAAATTTATTTACTAAAAATTTAATTTTAATTTTAAAAAGTCAAAAAGACTTTTTTTCAATAGTTAGAAAAAAAGAAAAGGAGGAAAAAAAAGATATCGAAAATTTTAATTTTTACTTACACAATAATTTAAAAGATGAGAAAAATTGCATTAGTAATCAAATTAATAATTTAAATAATAATGAAGTAAATAATAATAAAGTAAATAATAATGAAGTAAATAATAATGAAGTAAATAATAATAAAGTAAATAATAATGAAGTAAATAATAATGAAGTAAATAATAAAAAGAATTGGAATATATTAATTAGTAAAAATAAAAATGTTTTAACTTATAAAACTAATGATGAAAATTTTATGTCAATTTTCAATAATTTAAAAAATCATATAAATTTTTTAGATTTAACATTAATATGTAACACATATTATAAATTAAAAGAATTAGAAAATATAGAAAACATTGAAGAACTAAAAAATATCGCATATAAACTTTTTCTTTATTTTTTATTTTTTAAGAAAATAGATTATAATCATTTATGTTTATTCATTTATAGTTACATTAAGATGAAAGGAAAGTTTAAATATTATTTATTAATTAAAATAAAAAATATATTACTACAAAAAAATTTTGAATTATATACCAATATATATAATTTAAATATATGTTCATTAAATATGTTAATGAATGTATTACGAAAAAATCATTTTAAGGATGATAACTTTTTTGAAGAAATTATTTTCTCATTCATCATTAATTTAAATTTAAAAGAAAAAAAAAAAATAAAAATAAAAGGTAATATACTAAATTGTGATGATATTGAAATAAATGACCATATTTCTATTAGCGATTATGTATACTCTTTTGATAAAAATTCTATCAATAACAATGATGGTTATAACTTATGTGAAAATGCAAGCAACAATGAAAATAAAAACTGTTACTATATTCCTACAGAAAAAGTAGAACTTGCTAAATATTTTATAAAAAATAAAGATATATATTTATCAAAAAATTGTAATTTAATTAGATTAAAAAAAAAAGATTTTTGTTTTTTTGTTTATAATATGAATAAATTAAACATAAAAAATTATTATAATATATATGAATATATAAAATATGAGACAGAAAAACAATTAAATTTTTTAACTATATATGATTGTTGCATCCTGTTAAATTCCTTACTAAATTTAAATATACTAAATGATAAATTATTTATAAAATTGTTCTCATGTTTAAAAATTTTATTTGAAAAAAATCATTATAATGAAAAGGATGTTACAGGTATTTTCATAACTTTCTGTAAGTATGCACAAAAAAACACAAAACATAATAATTTAATAAATTTATTTTTAAAATTGTTATATTCAAAAATAGAAATGAAATTAAAAAAGTATAATTATATGAATATTATTTCTATTTTTTGTTGCTCCACATATTTTAATATAAATTTTAATAATGGTATACTGCAAGATTTGTGTATAGATGTACTCAATAATTTTAATTGTATAGATGTAAATTTATTACTTATTTTTTTATATTTTTTAAAAAGTAGAAATTATCAAATAAATTTTTTTTTTTTTGATTCAATTTTACATAGACTTCTTCTAAAAATTAAAGATTCAGATACTTTTTTTTTCTTTTTTGAACTTGTTACCATTTATTCTACTAAAACATTAAAGAATGAAAAAATCTTAAAAAAGATTACGGAGATATTAAATAAAAATTATCCATTTTTTTATATAAAAGAAAAAATTATTTTATCATTATATATATTAATGACACCTATGTTGTCATTAACAGAATTATCTTTTATATTTTGTAAGAAAACATTTGAAAGTATATTAGACTTTGAAAAAAAGAGAAATGATGATAAAGTAGAAGAAAAAATAAATAAAATAAATAGAAAAGAACCAACCTTCTTGTTACATAAAAATAATATTGATAATAAGAGTAATCGTTGTTCTACTTTTTTTGATGATTATTGCAATAATTTTTTACTTAATAATAGGGATTTTATTAATAATATAAATATTGATGAACTAAAAATATATTTTTTTATATTATTGTTAGACTTAAATCAAAATAAATTACCTTTTTTTAAAAAATACGAATCAATAGAAAATGATAATAAAAGAAAAAATTACTATTACAATTTGATATATAAACACAAATTTAAAATATTTTTTGATTTTATTTTTCTACCATTAAACAATGAATGCTTGAATTATTTTTTTAAAACAAGTAAGTTGTTTTATTCTCAAAAATATAAAGGGCTTTTAGAAGAAAAAAAAAAAGATGATTTAAAATTAATTAAATATTCAAAGAGAAAAAAAAATATTACATTAGAAACTTATAATGATGAAATTATAAATTATTTTCCTCATTTTGAAGAGACAATTTTGAACGTAATAAAAATATCTTATGAAGAATTTTTTACTTTTATACTCTCTCACAGAGAAGAAGAAAAATTTAAAAAAAATATAAACTATATAAATTACAATTATTCAGATTATTTTTTTTGTAATAATGAGAACCTCTATATAAAAATAAAAAAGAATATTTTTATTAATTCATTACACATTCCTTATATATTTAAATTACCAAAAGAATTAAAATCATTTTTATGATTAAAAATATAATGTTAATTTAAAATTTTTTAATATTTTCACTTTTAATATTAATTTGAATATCATTCATTATCATGTTCATTTATTTTATCTACTTTTATTTATCATTTTACTATTTTTTTTTTTTTTTTTATTTTATTATAAAATTAATGAATATATTAATTGTAACATTATATTTTATTAATTTGTACTTTAAATATACTATAATGTTTATTTTAATAACAATATATTTTTAATTTCAAATGGTTTAATTTTATTATGCTTACATAATAAGATTTATGTAAATTATCTTGTATTTTAAGAATTTTCAGTCATTTTTTTTTCCTAAAAAAAGGAAAAGGATTTAGTAATATATTTATATATTTAACTTAATGTTTTAAAAAAAATATATATTTAGAATAAGTGTAAAAGTAATATATATAAATTCTACACAAACATTAAATAGAAAAAAAAAAAAAAAAAAATGTTACAAAACAAGAGAGATACAAACATTAAAACTATTTAGGTGCTTTATTTTCATAATAATTATATGCATTCATAAATTTATGATGATTATTATTTTGTTTTATTATATCCAATTTTATTTTGAAGTATACACTTTTCTATAATAAATTGACATAAATTTCATACTTTATTTTATAGATACATTAAATAAATATGTACACAAAAGAAATATTTAAAAAAAAATAAATTATTATATTTTTCCTTTTTCTTTTTTTTTTCCTATTGTATAGTATTTATAAAAAAAAAAAAAATATATATATATTCATATACATTAAATACTATAATTAGCTAAAAGGTTCAAACAAATATATATATATATATATATATATATACATTCATGTGAAAAAAAAAAATAAAAAAAAAAACATATAAATCGTAGAATATGGTAAGGAGTTAAAACTATAAAAAATGAATATGAGAAAAAATAAGATAAAAAAAGGATAAATAATTAAAAAAAAAAGTTAAAGATAGAAAAAAAATACATAAAAGTAGAGAAAAAGAAAAAATACAAAATTGTAACTGAAAAGAAAATATAAAAAAAAAAAAAACAGTAAAAAAAAAAAAATAAAATAAAATAATTAAAAAAAAATTTTAAACAAACCTTATTCTTGTCAAGAAAATGTATAAACAAAAAGTTTAAAACTATAGGGACGTTTCATATGCTTTATTTATATTTTCATTTAAAATGTATAATTAAAATTGTAATTTTTTTTATTTCTTTTATACTATTTTTTTTTTTTTTTTATTCTAAAAATTTGTAAAGTATTAACCCCAATAAAAAAAGGAAAAAAAAAAAAAAAATAAACATATATTTTAATGAACATTGATAATAATTTTTTAAATAATTTTATATTAAGTTATATATAAAAATATATAGCATAAATTTCAATTTAATATTTATATAGAATAATATTATAAAAATAAAAAATAGGTTTTAAATATTATATATTTTGTTAAATTTTTTTTTTTTTTTTTTTTTTTACTTTATAACAATTCTTTTTTTATTTTTTGTAAAAATTTTTGTATATATATTCCCTTTTTTTTTTTAAAATATTTATATACATAGTATACTTAAATATATTTTCATTTGTTTATCAAAATGAGTACAAAAGAAGTAAAAAAAAATTTCGCAGCTGATTTTTTGATGGGAGGTGTATCAGCAGCTATATCTAAAACAGTAGTAGCTCCAATTGAGAGAGTAAAAATGTTAATTCAAACTCAAGATACAATACCTGAAATAAAATCAGGTCAAGTAGAAAGATATTCAGGTATGATAAATTGTTTTAAGAGAGTATCAAAAGAACAAGGTGTTGTATCTTTATGGAGAGGAAATTTAGCAAATGTAATTAGATATTTTCCAACACAAGCATTTAATTTTGCATTTAAAGATTATTTTAAAAAAATATTCCCTAAATATGATCAAAATAAAGAATTTGGTAAATTTTTTTTAACAAATGTTTTATCTGGTGGTACAGCAGGTGCTATTTCTTTATTGATTGTTTATCCTCTTGATTTTGCTAGAACTAGATTAGCATCAGATATTGGAAAAGGAAAAGAAAGACAATTTAATGGATTATTTGATTGTTTAACTAAAATTTATAAACAAACAGGTGTTTTTTCATTATATAGAGGATTTGGTGTTTCTGTTACTGGTATTATTATGTATAGAGGATCTTATTTTGGCTTATATGATAGTGCAAAAGCACTTTTATTTTCTAATGAAAAAAATACCAATATTGTTTTCAAATGGGCAGTTGCACAATCTGTTACTATTTCAGCAGGTCTCATTTCATATCCATTTGATACAGTCAGAAGAAGAATGATGATGATGTCAGGTAGAAAAGCTAAAGAAGAAATCCAATACAAGAATACTATTGATTGTTGGTTTAAAATTTTAAGAAATGAAGGATTAAAAGGATTTTTTAAAGGAGCTTGGGCTAATGTTATCAGAGGAGCAGGAGGAGCTTTAGTTCTTGTGTTTTATGATGAATTACAAAAATTGATTTAATAAAAAGATATTTTATTTTATATATATAAAATATAATAAATTTTTATGCGAATTATATTTTAATTTATATAGTTTCAAATTATAATTCGTATGATATTGTAATATTTTTATCTTAACTCATATGTATATATACATATGTTACTATTATTTTTAATTTTTTCTTTTAATACTACTGGTTCATATATATATATATATACTTGCATATATATTTTTATATCATTTTTATTTATTTCTTTTTATATATTTTACATTCATCTTCATATATCAAATTAATCATCCATACTTGCTAAATTTTACTTTTTTTTTTTTTTTTTTTTTTTTTTTTTTTTTTA